CAGTCATGGACGGCGTGAGTATGGATGGTACGCTCTCAGACCGAATGAAAAATCCGAGCCTTCCATTCGCTCTCTGGGAGGAAGATCCGACTCGAGTTATGGATTTCAGCATGTTTGGTTGGTTGCTTTCTTCGCGACCGTGGTCATCGATGTGGTCAATGGACTCGTCATCGGAGTCGTTTTCTCCTTGCTCACACTCGTCTACAAAGTACAAACACCGCAAACGTTCCTTTTGGGCAATACACCGAACTCTGACTACTACGTCCCTTTGAAACTCCACGCCCAGGTGAGATTCCCCATGGCCTGACCCCTAATTTTTCGATCAAGTGAAAGCGTTTGGCGAATAGGGGGGAAGAGAGAAGCTTTCTTCTTTCACCGATCACGCTATTCCAAGTCCCGTGAAGTACCTGGAGTGAAGATATTCCAATACGGCGGTCCGCTCCACTTCGCCAACACGGACTTCTTCAAATCGGAGCTCTTGCGTAAATCCGATCCGATCTGGAACCTACAATTCGCAAAGAACTTCTCTCCCGCAGTTGGCAGAAACCTTCACCACGGTCGGGATCGCGATTTTCATCGCCGATTGTGCCCCAAAAGTTTTATCGACTCTGAGGAAGGCAGGAGTCACGAAGGAGATACCGGAGACACAGTTCTTCCCCTCCCTGCACGACGCCGCCATGCACTCTCATGACAGCCATCGCATCGGAGGCATCATCGACATCTTACGTCTATTGGACGACAAGCCTCATTCAATGAAACTTTCGGGCCCGATAGCCTCGCGACCGATACCTCTGCATACGAGCACAGAGTCGATGTCAGAGACGAGAATGGCCATGCTGCTGCATTGAGAGATATGACGTCACTAATTGATGCCTGCCTGTGCTTCAAGTGACCGTGTGAAACATTCTCCGACTGATGAGAAGTTGGAAACGTCGGAATTATGAGCGGAATGTTCTGGACGAAACGAATATTAGAATAAGAATATAACTCCAACGAATACGTGGCAATAATGCGATGTACGACTTGGAACTCGACCCTGATTCGACTTTATTGCACTCTGAGCTCATTTCCGATGGTGCGTTTCATGATCTGAAAGAGTATCGTCGGAGAAGATGATGAGTCCGCGCCCGGTGAAAACGCTTCCGATTCAACCGACGTCTTCATTGAGACAAGATCCATGATCTTTCGGAGCCTCAGGGTCGTCCTAAGACTGGCTTTGGTGACAAACGAATTCAGAAAAGACTTCGGCAGAACTTGGTTACGATATGGAGCCACATGGGTACAGAGCGCTCCTTTTCCTCGAAAGTTTGCTTGGACACTTTATTCGCAGGTTCGAAAATATTCCCCTGTTCCGCTTCCAAGCGATTGCGAAGATCCTCGTTTTCAGTGACTATGACCACTTGTGACTCGAGATCCCGACCAGCGGACCTGCAGGCAGAATGGCGCATAAGGTTTTACAAGCAATCTAGGCGAATCACTCATGGGGGGAAACTCGCTGGAGAATTAGTATAATTACCGGAAACCGAAGTTAGGGGAGCCGATCATTGTCAAATTCGGTCTCAGCTGTCCTGGCGCGTAATACCATAGACCCTTGCCGTGGAAGGTCCAGTGTTTTCGTTCGTATTCCCAGAGCTTCACCCGGCTCCGTGCTGGCGCCGATTTCGTGAAGAACATCTTGAGCAGGAGTGTGTACATTGCCTTCGAGAATCACAGCGATGTTATACGACAATCCTGAAGCACAACAGTTCCGTCATCATCATCTGGGATGTTACAAGACATACCGGAATGTAATACATCGCGCCAGGAGCTTCGTAGAAGCTATTCGCCTTTGGATGGGCAGTCAAAATGTCGTACGCAGCTCGTCCATTGGTGATCAGCTCCTCGTACTCGGGAATGAGGTTGAAATATCCGGTCGCAAGTTTGACACGGCTCCCCTCCGTAAATGATTCCAGCAGCCTCGTCGTGACGATCAGGTCATTCCCGACTTGTAACTGACTCATTTGAACAAGAGGATAAACATGTGTGTCGTACGGTCCTGCTGTGTCAAATGAATCATTGGGCTCCGTGAATTCAGCCAGGAGCTGTTTCGAGTAAGACACAAATTTCCCCAATGAATGCAGGTACGGATGGACATCTTGGTCATTCGTGAAACTCAATTGGTTCGAAGCATCGAGCCGGAAGGAGACGCGACCGATTGACTTGACGAGATTCGTGTAGTAATCAGCTAACTCCGGACTGTCTCTGAACAAGAAGTACCGGTCTTGGCGCTTCTCGAAGTATTGATCGCTCAAGTTGGCACTGCAATATGAAAATCTTTCTTACAAGCTCCACAAAGCCTCTTGACAATGATGGATTAATCGCACGGATTCTCGACGTCCATCTCTCGAGTGAATCCTCACGGTTTCCTCACCCGCTCAAGAGAACGTTATTGTCGAAGACGTATACTTTAATATGCTGTAGGCCGACGATTTCATTCCATTTCTGTGGGAGCAACCATCTTAGTAGACCTCGAAGCCGCGGGCTGTGATATAGTGCTACTTGGACTCTCGGACCGAATTCCCCGATGAGAGGGGTCAACATTGTTCGCGACGAAACATCAGCTCCGCGAGATGCTCGAGTGCAATCGAGGAGGACTGAAAGAGGAATTTTATCTTCAATCATCGACTGACTTGCTTCGAGCTCTCCGGCCTTCCGCTTTGCAATACCGCCAGTTCACCTGTGAGTTGTAGACTGTGTGGTTCGTTCTGTATAGCTGAGCGTATGTTCTGTACTAAATTTTGTTCGAGGGCACCGGTGCCGAGATATAATGCCGCTAAGACGATTCGCTTCTCCGACTCCAGCGCTAAGGACTGAAAACGAAGAAAGATTGAATGATCTCATGACGACATCAAATCGAGATTCGCCACAGGAACTTACTCAGCAGACTCACGTTCAAAGTTTTGTAGAACTGACACGGTTCGCTTATGATTTGCACGTTCTTGCCGTGTATCCCGAAAACTGGACCGAACTTCGACAACCAACGAAATTCGTTGAGAACACCCATGCTGCTCGAGCTTTGGGTTGGACTTCACAAGCAGCTCGCAGGCGTAGCGGATTGAGAGCTCAGTGGGAGCTTTCGCGCACGCTCCAACCTCGTCCGGGCGAGCGATGTCATTCGTTCAGATCATCTTCCTCGACAGGAGTCGCTTCAGCGCGGTCAGGGCAGTCCGGAAAAGCGCTTCCGTCCAGGTTGATTCCTTCGATCTGTAGGATCTTTGCGAGAAGAACTGTTTCGCGAATTCCGGACTCAAGAAACAACATTCGATTGTTGCGGGAAGTTTATGGAAGCCGCCATCTTAGATCAGCTGATGTGTCTCTCAGCCAGAGACGACGACTGCCCGAGCCGCGGCGAGAAAAACACTCGTGGAACCTCGTTTTCCTCGGGTTCGAATCGTTATCCTCGGCTTTAGATTTTCCCGGAAATTCCCGATTCCCTCCGAATCACTCCTGGCGAGAGCTCGGAATCTTAGATCGGAAATAGCGCTGGACTATTCTGAGAGGACTCCGTCTCGTCACTGCTGGAGGGAGGCCGAGAGTAATCCAAGCCGCAGGCAGCCTCGGCGGAAGATATCAAAGACTTTCCGAGCTGTCGTCAGTGTTTCTCATCCGAGGTTCATATTGGCTAGCCGAAGTGGCGACAGAGTGATGATGATGGCTTGTTTGTTGTGAATTAGTAGCCGCCATGTGTTCAAGATTGTGTTCGGTTCTCTCTCTCAGCTTAGGGAAGGACGGTTACCGTAGAAACCGGCGAAAAGGAGGGTTACGTCTTCTCCAGCCGCTGAGCACAGCCACTACCGCCACTGTCTGGTGGGAAGTGCTGTCTTTCGTCGGTGGCGGCAGTGGTAGCTGCAGATCTGAACAATAACAAAAGCGACTTCAAAGAAGTTGAAATGAGTGCCTTGTGTCGGTGCTGCAAGCATTGGAGGAGAATTCGCTGAGAGGTGAGTACGAAGCGGAAACCTTCCCCAAAATGAATCCGTGGGGTGACATCGCACCCCACGTTGAAGCCATCTTATCGCAGGAGTTCTCCTCCACTTGAACGCAGAATTCTGCCCCGCCTCCTAACGCAGACTCTTGGAACTCTTCTCATTTGATCGAGATCTCGAATTAGAATCCGGGATTCCCGTTCTCGAATCGAGGCGCGAGCTCCCTCCGAGAGCTGCTCCGAGGCATAGCCAGCGAGAGAGCCACCTAGTGAAACAGCTGAAATGGAAAGTGACAGAATTAGAGTCATAAACGGCCATGCCGGCCGTTTCCGCGGCGATGAGCTCACATTTCGGATTATAATCTGCGTGAAAGTTAATTCGCATCGGGAGAATTCGGCGTGGAATTGATTTCAAGCTGACAGGTTCCCTATTCTGAGGAATTGATTTGAATTTCAAATCAGCAACATCCGCTGGCGTGATTCGGTTTTCTGCTCGCGTATAAGCTCGGCCTCCACATTCACTGGCAGGTGGAATTCTGCTCCGCAATTCCGGTCGTTTCTGAGACGTGTTTCGAACGGTGCTCCGCAGATCGATTTCTCGGAGACTTATTTGCCGCGAAGTGCTCCTACAATGTTGTCATAGCCGGACCCTTAGAGAGTCGAATGACGAAATCCTGTTTTTGTTCGATTTTTCCGATCTGAGAGAATACGAAAACTAGGAGATCGAAGCGGTAACCCGTCTTTAGCTCCCTGAAACGTGTCCAGTGCCTTCCTAGATTCGAGCAGAGTCAACCTTGCATTCGCTCTGCCGTACCGGTGCCTCGACAATGTATTCGTCCGTTTGACAGCGTCACTCACTGAGTCGAACGGATTGGACACTCGTGGCAGGATCATAAATTTTGCAACACTGCAGTTGGACCGAATGTCACCGAGGCTTCGATCCGCGATAGACTCTCGTCGGTGAATCACGATGAATCTCAGAGAGTTCCCGTGACCGTGAACCTGATATCTTATGCGGAAAATGGAAAAGCATAAGATATCCATCGTTCGGATACTCGAGTTTTCACCGAATCGATTATAATGTGATCGTATATTGTCGGCGGAAGTTCTCAACGCAGACCGCTCTCCGAACGAGCGTGCGCTCGGGATTGATCCTAAGAATGTTTTCCCAAAACGGATTCTCGAACAACTTCGAGCAGAACGCCTTCTGGGAGTCTGCGCTGGATTATCGAGTCACGGAAACTGCGGATTTATTCCATTCAAGACGGAATAGAATCGACCGATGATGAAATATCGAGCGATCGATTTAAGTCATTACATTCCAACGGAACTCTTCGTCCCCCCCATCATTTCCTCTAGGAGGGGAGCCTCTCGACGGAGTGGCTGCTCAAGATTTTCTCGGAACTGTCATCTTATTGTGAGAGTCCTTTGTTGCTGGACTCCTAGTTTTCTGGATTTTCGCAGGCAAAAAACTCCAGAACTTCATTAGCCTCAATGCCGCAGCATCCGACCGGTAACACGCTGCGGCTGCAACAGCAGCATCGGGAGCCACTTACTGTTCTCTATCTTTTCGGCTTCTGTCTGACCGGAGCCGAAAACGGGTCTTTCAATGGGATCGCTGAAAACGTTTCGCAGGAACTGACAGAGAGGAGGGAGCGCTTCTTGTCGCGGACGGGCATGGAACGTCATCGGACCCCTCCTCCGACCTGACACGATAGATCTGATGGGAGATGGCCTTTTCTTCCCGTTCAGAACTCGATCACTCAAAAGGGTCAGATTGAACGCCGGACAGCTACTCGTTGGACACGAATGCGCTTGCTTGGTCACTGTTCGCAGCGTGAATTACGAAGACGGTATCGGCATGCCAGCTACCGCTTCGATTTCGTGTTTTTATTTTAGAGTTCGATGCGTTGGAAGGCTGCTCGTTTCTGTCAGCTTCGTGCGTTCGATGGTTCGGCGACGTAGTACGCATCATTGCTTGTTTTCATTGACGAGGAAGACGAACAGTGATCTTCGAAGTAGCAGATCGTCGCTCCCAGGACGGAGAGGATTTTTCGCGAATCGGCTACACAGCGGTTTTTTCCTCCATCGCGAACTTCATTCTGAATCTTTCTTTTGACTTCTGACAGTCGCGTGGACGTGGTCTCCTGAGTTACCGATTGTTTTGCCAGACTTGACACGCAATGAATAAAATGTCAATCGTAAGCCATTGGATGGGAGATCGAGGCCTACCGAATGTAAAGCCTCGTGTATCGAATATTGCTCGAACCGAATTCTGTCCCCGAGCCAATTAGTCAAACGCTTTCGAGATGTCATGCGAGGGTCCCTGGGCGAACTTCCGAGTTCAGCTTGCGAATTCAATACCGATGTGGAAGATTAGGTGGATGGAAAATGTCATGATGGTCGATGGGGGTTTTTCCATGCTTGCATAGCTTCTTACTGGCAAAGCCAAGCCATCTCATGGTACTCCACGAGACGAATACTGTCTGCTGATCGGTCCTCGTAGACTGCGAGCTCCGAGCCTGGAGGAAAATTCAAGCGTTGATTTTGGAATTTTGAATTCCAAAGACAGAATTGTTGATCACTTATTCTGCTCCGCGAACCCACATTCATTTCTGCTACGCATGACTTACGTACGATCACCGACCTGCTGATGATAGGCTATATTATTCGGCATCGACACGCAGGCTTATCGCGCGAAGGTTGTGGTTGGAAGAGATTTCTCGACTAAACATGAGGTACGCTCCGTATTGAAGTCGCCTGCTTTGTCGATTGGGGAAAATTTTTGCTTTGTGGAAGTTCTGTGGGAACATCGGCTCGAAAAGAATGAACTTTTGCAGAGCTATTCCATCGAGGGCCCATTCATCGACATACCCGCTCTCACCGCTCACTTAAGAGGGTCCATTCCCCAACGGTCGGCTTTCCGTCGGAAGAACTCCTTCTCGTTCCGCGCCGAGCTGCTCGGACGGGAGCGGTCGAAATCGAATCAAAATTGAGTATGCTGCTGAAGAGACGTTTCTCGAAGCTTTGTCAGTCGCAAGCGATTCTCGCTTCACGATGACGCTTCAGATGGCTGGAACGGGCTCCCGCCGCAGAATTTTGCGTCTGATAGTCGCATCATTTTATATGGAAAGCTATTGACACAAATCGTGGGTTTTCGAACCGTAGCCGAATTTCCATTTATCCGCGGGGAGTGAGAAGAAGCTCTAGTCTCCGTACGCGCGAAGGTTTAGTCGGCATGTGAATTATTATGGAGGTCGTCTTCCTTCATGTTTTCGCGCTGCCGGATCATTTCAAGCAATTGATCTCGGGAGCAGCTTTCTTCCGGGAGAAATCTTGAGTTCGACCTCCGGCGGATCTACCCTCTGCGAAAAAAATAATCGACTGGACCATGGATCCGCCGCGCTCGGGGAATATCCCGTTCGATACCTCAACATCTCCCCTGGTGTATCAGGCAGGATGGTCGAGCTTGCCACACACCTTCTGCGGTCGTCTTTTGACGTCGTTCGGCGTACCGCATCACGCCATCGTCGGCTAACCTTCTTTTCTTGGAGGAGCGTACTATCTGCCGCGCTTTCGTTGGAGGACCACCGTGATATTCCAATGACGGTCGATGAATCTATGGAATTATCGAGTCATTCGATATCAATGCTCAAGAGGGAAAACGATGCGCGCCTCCCAACCATTGAATTTTCTACGTGTCCGCGGTGCGCGCTCCATCATTTCGCGCCAGGATGCAAGGATCGCTCTGCTGAAAAACCGAAGACCTTTTTCGGAGATGTTTTGAACAATTATTTGTTCTTTGTGCTGAGGTTTGAGCCCTCCGCGACTCATTCTGAAGCCGGACTTTCTCACTCAGTCAGTCGTTATCGTCGAAGCCTCTGTCAAACGAGTCCGTCTGACAGGGCTGCATCGACCCGCTGTGAGAGACGGGTTGTGCTGGTCCAACGAATGCGTCATTAGTCTTAGGGTGGAATAAATCTTTTTTTGAAGGCGCAGGAACTCACGATCGGAGATATTCGCACCCATGGGTCTGCCGGGCGCGCTCAGAGAGAAGTGAATTCCCCCTGCATGCGTTCTTTGTCGTCTCAGAGCACCAGCATGGTGGTCAAGCGAGTCGGCACCGGTCGGCGTGTAGATCAAGTCGTCGATCAGAGTGTTTGATACGACGCGAGTGTAAGCTGCCAATACTAGCAGGGTTTCTTATCGCGACGACCTACCGTCACTCTACGTCCGTCCGGCCGGCCGGCTAGCCACCCTAATTCGTCCGAGAGGAAGCTCGCTCAGGCGTATGTGTTTTTTTTTCGCTCATTCATCACGCTCAGTCGGCGAGCGCGGGCCTGAATGCAACGCTTTCGTGGACAAATATGACGTGGACTCGAACGCTGTGCGCGGAATCCATGTCGGATTCCAGTGACTCCGAGAGGCAATTTTCCGCTTTCGCGGCACGTTCTCCGATCGAATCTAGCCGTTGGTTTCATTGTTGTGATGTCCTCAGGAAAAAATGATCGTTCACTATTCAGAAGGACAGAATTGTAAACTTTTCGCACTTCGATTGCCTTGAAGCTTCGGAGAATGGAGACGTCAGCGGCGGAATATACGGAGAAATCGTTTTTTCAAGGAGGAAGTTCAACGGCAAGCTCTCTCTCGGACTTGACGACTGGAAATGCAGCCGATTTGAGGATGTTTCGGATAGATCAATAATTAGCAGGAGTCGAGTCGACTTCGGCTTTTTCGGATCAAAACGAAAAGCTGATTAAGTCTCTCATATCTGTCAGATTTCTCGCCTAATCTTCCTGAATCATTACTCGCCATGGCGTAGAGAAGAGAGCTATCGGAGGAACTGCGGAATTTTCGCAAAACCGGTTGTCGTGAGGACTTAGAACGACTTTCCCGCCCTCAATTCGGAGCGCTTCAGCTTCGATTCGTTCCGATTCTCTTGGAGCAGATGGTAAGCTATTATCCAGATCGAAGCGCTGTGTTTATAAACAGCGTGGGCGGTCAGAAGCTCCGACCGGCACTCGAAGTGGAGCTAAAATTTTGCGAGACAGGTGTCGGTGCCTACAGTTTTTGAGACGGACCACACCGGAGTCGCACAGAACATCTGAACGAGGTCTCAGATATCGGAGTGCGGAAAGGCTTCAGAGTCCGTTAGAAGGCTGGCGTTTTTCGCTAGTTTTCCGAGCTTTCCAGTCGATTCGAAGTGATCAACTGAGAGGGATACACGATCCACCGCGTGTAACGAATTGACACTCGAGCCGAACAAAATCCGCTCTCTGATGGATTGTTCAGCTCGGCTCCAGCCTGTTGAAACGAGCTGTTCGAACGCTGTCACCGTCCGTGGATCTCAGATTGATTTCTCTTGGCTCCGTGAACTTTGTAGAAACTCCCTAGGTCACGATGCCACGAGGATTGAAACTTGAGTCGTGTTCTGGATTCGTCAAGTTCTGTACACGCGAGTTTCGATGACCACGTCATAGGTATCCGCTTGAGAGAATACTTTCGGAAACTTCTCGCATCCAACTAAGGAACAGAACAGCGTTCGGCTCGGGTGCTATCCGTTGTGGAACCGTGGCTCCCCATACCGAGCACCGAGAAACAGCTGTTGCCGGCAAGGCCGCGAACGCTGTCAGCTTTATTAACCAACAATTTAATAGTAAGCAAACACAGCTTCGGAAGAATCGTGACCACATACCGAGTCGAGAATAAACAAAGGCGTCCGATTCTGAAGAACGCTGTGAAAACAATACCGGAAAACACCCGCGGGAGACACAGCTAGAAAAACGTTGGTTTTCGGTGCATCCGTGGCTTCGGAATCCGAATGGCTGCTCTTGTTGTTATATGTTTATCTCCCTGCTCAGCAAGCTTCATCGAAATTGAAGCTCGTTACCGTAGATCCTGTGGGAAATGAATTTGGCGTTTTCTCCGCTTATCGACTCCAGCGTGGATCGCTCCCTACACGGAGTATGTGGATATCCGACGTCTTGCTGGTTAAGTTGATTGCTGCGTGCCGGTCACGCGCCCTCTCACGATCTCTCATTGTTCGCTAACGCCTGGAAGTCGAGGTCATCCCTGTTGTCTCAGTCGGCGAATTCCATTACTGCAATGAGACGATGAATTATTATTATTTTAATAAAGCACCATTGTGAGCACAAACAATGATGGATATGGGTGAAATAATTGAGGAGAAGGTGTCGACGATTGTGTCGCGTTGATGTTCATGTTTGATGATCAGCAGTTCCTCGAACGATTCGTGCGAGCATGCCTATGGATTGTGAGCATGATCCCGATTGGTTGGATCATCCCATTCGGTCTCCCGCTCAAGGATCAGGGAACCCCGCGTCCTCGTTGAACATTTCCAGAGACTCGGTGCACCAGGGCAAATCCCTCCCTCCCCTGTGCTCGTTCCGACGGAACTTTTTAGTGGGAATCCCGACCTCCAAGGTCGTCGGAGTATTCGCGGGGGGCTCCGCCCCGCCTGGGGCCGACGTGAGTCTTCCGCGGGTCGATAAGACGGATCAGCAACCATTCACGGAACTAGAATGGTTTCACATTAATAGCATGGCGTGTCCGAGTAGTGTAAATGCGGGCGCAGTATCTCCGCCATGACACGTTGTTTGATGCAGTCACGCGAGCGGCTACAGACCTCTCCTAAGGACACCTGGAGGCTGGGCAGGTCCTTACTTCCGAACTGTCATAGCCGACGCGAATTCGCCTCCGAAAATTCCTACAGTTGAGATTCTCAACTCGCCCAGCTAATCCAATTTCGAGCCAGCCGTATCCTCGGACACGACCGAATCCGGCTTTGATGGGTCCGGTCAGGGGAATCGGAGCAGCTCTTCGATGTTTCTTGACACCAACTGACCATGAGAGTGAATGTCTCGGCTGCGCTGAATTAATTATCCGACGAATGTTCGGGTTGTGTCGCAGAATAGATGAATTGGCGGCTGTCTGAAGACAAGACGCTGCGCGACGATAAGATGAAGGCAGCTCGAGCCGCGGCTTACAGCATTGGGCTGTAGCGAGGTCAACGAGTCCGAGCTCGGGATAAACAAGCGATGACCGCCTACCGCGCAAGCTGAGCATCGGGCATGAAGCGTACACTCGTGGATTCGCCCCAAGGACAGACGCCCCGGTCCGTGACCGCTCTCGGGGAGTTCGCTGGGTGTTAGACGGAAACATTACAGCACCACAGTAGCCGCTCACAGAAGCCGGCCATTCCATTATACGCGCCGCTTGCCCAGCTCGTATCGAGCGAGGTCGGGCGTCCTGGTCGGTCCCGGGCCTCCGGTACCCCGAGCCGTGTCAGCGTCGTATGGAGTGAGAGGAAATTTTTTTTTCGCTTCTCGGCGATGTTCCCCTTCGGAGAGCGTTGCACTTTGGCGTCGTACACCCGACGAGACGTGAATCATAATCGAGATGCGGACAGTGAAATGTGAAACGCCTCTCGCGGACGGTCGATGGCCGGAACAGCCGACGGCCATTATCCGGGCGATCCTTGAGCCTCGCGAGTCTACTAAGTCAGAGCTTGTCTCGGATGAGGACTCCACCGGTTCCGATCGATCGAAGGCGGGCAACACGCACAGGCGAGATAGCTTCACGCATCTAGGTGCTATCGATATCGGTCGTGTGGATCATGATCTGCTATTCTCTGCTTCGGTTACGCTCAACTCGCATCCATCGGGAAGAGGAAGCTCGCAGGCTGACCTCGGCGGCCATTATCAATCTACCGAGCCTACGGTAGGTACTTGCTGGACCTTGTTGTCGGAACTGTCGACGGGCGATTCGGCTGAGCAGTCGTGCGGACTCTGACGCCAAAGAAGCTAATCGCTAATTCTCTTTTCACTGTGCGTTCCCATATCAATAAGGGGATGGTGTTACGAGGTCCGATCCGAGATGGGGTAAGGGGCTGAGAGCGCACTTTCGGGGAGAAGAATGAATATCGTAATGAAATATTGAATTAATATTCTATAATCCGGATTCCGGGTCGTATGGAATGCTGAGCTCCGGCTGCAAGGCTATTGCACCTGCAGAAACGAACGCGTATTCTCCACTACCGACACTATTCACGTCAAGACATTGATAGCTCGCTGGAGCAAGAATCTCTCGTATATTCGTTGAGCGATAGGTCTGAGTGAGCCAAACACGACCATCGGAACACGAGACGCTTGATTAAGGTATCAGTCGTAGATATTCCGGGGCGTATATTTCCAAGATCACCGTTCCGGCTCCTCGCGGTACTCCAGTTAATGGGTCAAGGATTTTCTGAATCAGCTTGCGGTAATGCTGATCAAACGACCCGCAGCACATGGAGATTGTCTTCCGACCGAGCTAGACTGCTCTGCATCGACCGCGGCGGTTGTAACTGGTAACTGCGCGAGCAGCTGTAGTCCAGAGAAGCTCGATTCCGGAACATCTGCCATGAACCCTCGAACTTATTCTGGCCCGGGAGCTCGCCGAGTTTCGTGAATTCCGAACGAGATTGAACAGCTCATCCAAGCGCACCCATAAAGGGGGAACGAGAATGTTTTGGGCAGAACCACAGTCGGATAGATATACATACCCGAAGAGACCCGATGATCCCGCGTTGTCGAGTCCGGCTCTGCCGCGGCTTCTCGGACCACGACAAGCGGCGAAACCGCCGATCATGTGGACGAGTGCCTTGCGTGCGGCCAGCGGATGGCCACGCGCTCCGGGAATGTCCTATAGGTTTTTTTCTCGCCGCGCTCCGGGAGCTTATATAGAGGAACAATTACTATTGGAAACTCGGGACGAGGTCTTCCTCACCGCGCAATCCGGACGCTAAGCCGCTCTCCGAGAACTCGGAATGATGCAGACATGCTGTGCGAAATCGTCGGGAGATGCTCCCAAAATATGATACTTTCTACAATGCTGCAAGAGCAAAAGCCAGAGACTGTGGGAGAGGCCCCGAACAAATCACCGGGCGAACCACAATTGATGCATCGATTCTGCGGCCGTTATGCTCGGAATAGAGGTTCGCTGTGGCATCATCGCTTTGAGGAGAGCGAATCGTCAGCCGCTAAACCAGTGCACCACCAAGCTATTTGTCGTCGAAGATATCTCAGAGCTGATCATCGTTCTCGTGACGTGAACACCAAGAGACTGTTGGGTGTGAGACTGGTCTCTCAACTGTGACGGGTCTCCCCGCTTATTCGAGCCAACTATCTGTGCCGCTGTCAATCTCCTCAGGCTCTCCGGAGTGTTTTCGAGCCGGAATTCGGGAGACCCTCGAACATTCGGGAGCGCAACTCATCCATCAGCATTCGTCTGTCCGCTCATGCGAGTTCTTGTGCTGAAGATATTCGTGAGTCTCCGGAAGATCATTCACGTATTTTTAGGCCGTCGGCGTCAATGCCGACTTGGCAACCTTATGAGTCATTGCTACTCAGAGAGCTTCGCAGCACTTCCACGTAGCGCCCGGCTTCACGCTTCGGGAGCTCATCCCGGGGAAATTCTCCTCGACTCCATGAATACGTTTTATTGCACTCCGATTGACTTGCCCCGTAACCATGTTATCGGGAAATCGCCGCTTCACGACGCTTTAATCGGCAGCGAGAAGCTATTCGTGTCGTTCTGTGGATCTCCTGGGATTCGGGCTGATCATAAAGCAGAGTCGTTTACGACGGGACAGCTCTGACGACAGACGTCGTTGACAGTTCCGCAAGATTTCTTGCTTTGAGCTCGCACACGTGATCAGATGATTCTATCGAGCATCAGAGTCTGAGACTGTGAAGAAAAAACTGTGCTTTGATGTACAAATCCCGCGACACAGAGATCTTCTTTGATCGAGTCCTCCCGATGAGAATGATGATCGACGGAATGTACATTAGATGATTCAAAGTGTGGAGCATTAATATTTCCTCTCGATTCTCCTTTCAGGTGAATTTGGATGTCCCGCCTACTTGCACGGAGCGGCGATGAAATCGTACCGGCCGCTCGGGGTCGAGGAGGATACCTCATGGCGGATGCATCATTTCTTCAAATTACTGGGACTACTCGTAATCGGGGTTCTATTCATTCAATACTCTTCAAATGTTCTGATGGTCAGATCACCGACGCTCCCGTGGGTGCAGTCAGAAATTGTTTACAATGTAATACCGATGGTGAAAACGAATTCGACAAATGCCACCGAACCATCGTATTCGAAAGACACCGCCAGCGATAAACTCAGAAACGAAACCTGCCAAATCCTACGGCACCACCTCGACGACAACTCTACGGCGCTCTGTGTCAATGAGACTGTGTTACGGAAATGTCCCCTGATTCCACCACGTCTCGTTGGGCCCATGAAGATCTTGACCGAGGACATCTCATTCGAGGATATCGAAGCGCTTCATCGGGATATCGAGCTGGGTGGTAAACACCATCCCGAGGAGTGCGCGGCACGATTCAAGGTTGCCATTATCGTCCCCTACAGAGATCGAGAGTATCACCTACAGAAATTCCTCCACAACATACACCCCATGCTCAAACGCCAACAATTGGATTACGAGGTTTTCGTTGTCGAGCAAAATGGAACCTTCCGATTCAATCGAGCCAAACTCATGAACATCGGTTACTTGGAGGCGAATAAAATCGCGGATTTCGATTGCTATATTTTTCACGACGTCGACCTGATACCGGAAGACGATCGCAATCTCTATTCGTGTCCGGATCAGCCACGCCATATGTCGGTGGCTGTCGACACTCTGAGCTACAAGCTACCCTACGCCAACATTTTCGGAGGGGTTTCGGCACTCAGTCGGAAGCACATGCAGAAAGTCAACGGCTTCTCGAACGAGTTCTGGGGCTGGGGAGGTGAAGACGACGATATGAGCGCTCGTATTCGTTACTACAAATTGAAGATCACGCGCTATCCTTCATCGATCGCACGTTATAAAATGCTCAAGCACAGAAAAGACAAACCAAATCCAGATCGGTATAAAAATTTGCGGCGCGGACGACTCCGTTACCGTACCGACGGTATCAATAGCTGCAAATACCACGTACTTAATATTGTTTTCAAGAAGCTCTACACGTGGATCTTGGTCGATGTGTTGGAGCCCAAAGGCAAGAAAGGATAGATGAGTGTTAGGGGAAATTCGATTCCCACTACTCGCCACACTTACAAGTCGCATCGGCCTGGTTCGGGTTTCCGAAGAACTCTCCGGTCGGGAGGGTGGACCCATTGACTGGTCGACCCATCTCTTGGTCTGTCCCTCCGTGGATCGATCGAACGGTCGCTCATCCGGAATATTGATTGATGGATTGGTTGGTAGATCCTTCGATCAAAATAACCCAAGAACTCCACGTCGACGGCGTAGGTCCGTGAGCTTCCGAGGAGCTCATCGTAGTTCTAATGGCCGCCCGCGGCCGCCATTCCAGAAGTGCCTCATTCGGTGATGACTTAGGTAGCTAGGCAGTTGAATAAATCATGTAAGAAGGATGTGTATTCTGTGATCCCGGATGCGACGCCATAAGAGCCGAATCTCTCGTCTTCTGTAATTAGCCGGCTTTTGAGCACTGCTGTTAGCCATTGTTCATCATGGTTTTCTCTGGAATCGTCGGTATCTCGATCATCTCCTCCGAGCTCGAACCCTTCCGTGGATTGCGAGCGAGAAATATGGGATTTGAGCAACTCCACGAACGACCGAGCTCCGAGAGATGATCAATCAAACAAGAGGACCCGACTGCTTCAGAATCTAGAAGATGCTCGAAACAATGTCTCATATCGAGTAAGGAGGGAGAGAGCTATTTTCGACCGAGCTTCGGATGGACAGCTGGTCCACTTCTAGTCATACTTGTGTTAACAAGCTGTCGCATGGCTGCCGACATCGCTGCTGTGATCGGAGCCCTTGCTGAACAGCTCTAGCGGCAGCATTCGGTTTCTAGGACCGATTGATGCTCTCTAGGCTGCAGTCCTGTACGATATTGTTCCGCTTCTAAATTAATGTACAAAATGAACAGGAGTCGAGGATGGAGGACAAAGCCATAAATAAGCTTAGCACGAAAGTGAGAACTCTGATTGAGAGTGAATAGGTCACGCTCGAACGAAGTGCTGCGAAGCGCTGACAACTGTGAATAAACTTCCGGAATTTCGAGGACTCTTTCGTGTTTTCAGTAACTCGCCCTGATCCTTCGTGAATACATCGAGGTGTCATCAGAGTTAGGTCGAGGAGTCCAGCCTCATTTCTGGACGTTTTTGCGGTCCGCTGTCCTCCCCCATCTTGCGGTTTCAAAGAGGTGGATTTTTTTTTTGGCTTTCATCCTGACTTCCCGAGGGATACGAGACCTGCAGTTGGACGCATTTCGCTTGGCATTACGAGGATCATGACAATCTTCCGATTGAGAGTGAAAGTCTCCTCAATTCGACACCGTTTACTGAATGAATCGTTCTCAAATTCATTCGAATTTCGTTCATCGTGGAGATGGGGGCCCATATCTAGCCTGACAGCTAGCTGAGGACAGAGCTGTTCCTTGTTACGGATTTCCCCTTCGTGGGGGAAAGCTCACGGACATTGTACGATCATGATCCGCTGGCTTGGTCGAGCCATCGAAGGCTTCTCGCCAGGCTCGTCTTTCGAGCAGCCTCTTAGGCAGACAGAACATCTAGCAGGGAAGAGGTGGAAGCTCGCCGTGACTTATCTTCGCCGGGCGCGTCACGGGAGAGGGAATCCCTCCCAGTGGAATCACCAATAATCCCAACTATAGGTTCAAGATCCTCATTGTCTCTGAAGCATTTAGTTCTGCGGGTTCCCGTTGCATCGATCGGAGCGAGATCCAAAAAAGTCTACTCGTTTGTCTCGCGAAGAAACCGCCGAGGTTGTGAGAATCACCGTGTTTTTATGTACTTTAATCACCATGAGCGGGATCTGTCATGAAATCAACAAGGGCCGCGAGGAACTATTGGATGTGAGAAAAGAAAGAAGCGTGATTCGGAGACTTTGTGAGTTCCGACGATGTAATGGATAATATCACATCGATTCATCACTCTGGTATTTTCTCTGTCTCGCAAAAAACTGCAATGCTCCCGTGTGTTTTTACTCCAAACAATTTCACGCTTGAAGCGGCGAGAGCTCTCCGCGCGCTGGCCGTGTTTGTACGCGTGTCTTATCTTTTGCTCTCTCGAGAGAGAGGCGAGGTACTCGTGGATGACTTTCGAGACAGATGACTGACTGACTGACTGACTGAGTGGATGAGCGGTCGCTTGTTGCTGCGGGGATAGAGTATTGCGCGCCGAAGGCACCAAGCACAGCACTGGTTTTTCAGAGATCACCTCGTTTTTCGAGAGATTCTCAGGCAAGAACACTCCAAGCTTCCGGACCTCGAGCTGTCGTCTCGAGGGCGGCTGGTATTTAAGAGAATGCCAAACCCACCTGCGGACATCGCTCACTTTTGACAAGACGTCGCCTCGTTCAAAAACCTGCAGCGATGATAGGCAGCGAGTCAGAAAAACTGCTCGGCTTCCCGAGCGAGCCCCGATCGAGTCACGGCACGAGGAAACATGAGGCGAACTTTGGAGGAAAAATTTAGTGCAGGCTCTCCCGGAATCCGTCGATACCTCGATAAAGATGATCCGAAAGGAACAGCTTCCCGCTCGCTGGCATCCGGTTTTCCGTCTCGCGTTCTCGCTCTCAGGGCGCCCGACTCGACGGAAATCCCGTCGATTACTTCCAGGCTCATGTAGCGCCCCGGGTGTGAGCGAAATTCTCGCAAAGCTCCAAAGCAATAAGCATCGTCAATCGAGTCGTATAATCAATCTCTTTTGGAGCGTACCCTCGAGGATAGTCTGAACTCGGTAGCTGAAAGAAATTCCCATTTGTTTAATGCCGAAATCGCGCTGGATTCCGTCTCCGATAAGTTTTTACTATGGTATTTTTTCGCGAAACCTCTTGGCTTGCGCACAGAGTGAGCTGACTCTTGCCAGTCGTCGAGGCAATCAATCATATTCCTACGAGATCCTCCCACTTTCTGGAAAGCGATTAGTAGTTGCCTCTCACACTTGTGATCAATTGCTGACCAATGGGGAGACCCAGCGTGCGAGCGAGGGAGGATAACCCGAGCAATCACCTACAAATGACAGAGATAGACTTTTCCCGACCCCTCTCATGCGGAGCTGTACTCATGGAATATTAGAGCTATAGGAGAGCAGGAATTGGAAACGTCACAAGCCATAGCACGAGTTTTCGGGGGAGAAAATCAGACAAGTTCCAGCTGGGAATCGATTCGATGGAATTCTCTGAATTATTGCCAGACATTCGGAGCGGTCAGACAGGGAACCGAGACCACCGACAAATGATCTTCCTTTATTGGAGACTACAAAGTAATTCTTCGAAAATCGTCATTCTCGAATTCGACGGGGGAGGGTTCACTTCTTCAGTTTAATGTAGGCGCCTTGATTAAATGAGTCCGGATTCCGGGGATTCACCTGATGCAAGATCGAGGCAGATGGGGGATAGTATTTAGGATATTGGGAGCAAGCCCTCCCAACTCCCAATTCCAGAGATCCCTCTCCTTTGGAGCAAATGGTGTGAGCGATGCTGCGGTGTCGAACTCAAAGAGAGAAATTATCCTCCGAAATCGTCAACCACCTCTACTTCTCATTCAAGTTGAAGGACTCGATCATCGATTGCACGAAAGGAGCGAATTGCTCTCGTTTCGCGGCAGAATTGAAAACAGGGTTCTTCAATATCTCGACGCAGTCCAGTCTCTTTGAAGGATCCTTGTTCAACATCGCTTCGATGATTGAGTTCATTCCCTTCGAGACCTTCCGCTCCGGTCTTATGGCAGGTTCGTGAACAATTTTTCTCTTAATTTCGAGTTTCTCGTCCTTCTCCCAGAGATCCATGTACGGCGGTTTACCGTCGAGGAGCTCGATCAGTATGATGCCGATAGACCAGATATCGGCTTTGTAGGTGTAAGTCAGTAGGTGAGAGCCAGATTCTCCGTTCTCGACGTCAGTCTCGATTCGACAGATTTCTGGCGCCATCCACAGAGTGGTGCCAGTTAGACCATGGAACTCGTTCTCGGGGCAGGCGAAACGCGCTGCCAGACCGAAATCTGCCACCTTCACACTGCCATTGGATCCGAGCAAGACGTTGTCCGATTTCAGGTCTCGGTGGAAAATTCCGCGCTTGTGGAGGAAGCTGACGCCGGCAAGGATTTCTCTGATCACGAAGAGAACGATATTTGCTTCCAGATATGAGCCTTCATCATCCAAGAAGTCAAGAACTTCTGCCAAGGAGCCGTCCATGAGTTCCATGATCAGGAAAGGCACCTGGACATCTTTCAGTTTCGGCTTAGTCTTTGCCTCCAGCGGGGCAGCATAATAGCAAGCGAATGATTTCACGATGTTCGCATGGGACAGAACGCTCAGCACAACCATCTCAGTCAGATAGAAATTGTACGCGGTCTTCGCGTGCACTGGGCTGCATTGCTTCAGAGCGACTTCCACATTGGAGCTTTTGTCCTTCGCCAAGTAAACGTCACCGTAGGTTCCGTGGCCGATTTTGTGTATCACGTCGTAGAAGTCCTCTGGAGAGCCTTGCTTGCTGCAATCTTTCAGGAAGCGGAAAAGCTCTTCTTTCGCCAGTTCTGCTTTGCCGCCACCTTTGAAGATCACCATCTCTTTCTTGAGTGTAGCTGTCGGGATTTTCTTGAGTTTCTTGAAAACCGAAGTTCGTTTCGCTTCGGGCACCGTATCGTCTTCCAAAATACGCAACGCATACTTCCACTCGTCGGGCAAGCCGGCGAGCCCATTCTCAGCATCCGTCGGATCATTTTTGCAATGAACCATGTGCACCGCGCGCCGGACCTCCGTTCCCCCTCGGCGAGGTTTGACCGCTTCGTCGACAGGTCTGCTCGACGAGCATCGGATCTTCTTCAAAAACGACGGAATGAGCGGCATCCTTCACGGAAATCAATCCCGCTCCACCAACACGGAACTGACAGGCTGTAGATCTGTCGTGGTTTGACACCTACACTTAGACTGAAACGTGCACCGGCCACACAATCGTGCTCTGCTCGCAAATACTGTGCGCCTTGGAAATAACTTATTCAGCATCGGCTACGGCCGATATGAGAATCAGAGGAGAAGCATAGCGTGGACCGTGCTCTCGGTTGGGAATTTGAGGGCTGCTGTTGGGTACCGCGTTCAAGGGTAATGAGTAATGAACGTCGCGATTCTCGACGTACCCTGCCTAGGATGTGGCGACGAGGAGGACCACATAGAACATAGATGTCCCGGCGACCACCCATGTAGCACCGCTCCCAAACTTCCCTCCGATAACCACCCCGTCCATGAGAATTCCTCCTAGAAGCTCTACCCTGGCCATACGGGGAGATCCTCGATGAGGATGCAAGCTCTCAAGTCCGCGGTGATTGTTCATTCATGATAACAATCGCGGGAAGGACGAGTCGGTCTCTCGGCCTAGAGTCAAGGAGCCTCCGGAAAATGCTCCCGAGAAGTCGGGGACCCCGGAGAGTCATTTCGAGAGAGAGGCCCGCACTAGCAAGAGGGAAGTCGGATCGAACGTTCGAACTAGAGGAATTCCTCCGACCATCCCGGTTCTGATCTCCGACGCAGGAATCTATTCGAACTCTCTGCGCTGATTGAGTTATAGTGCCTTTGGGATTTCCATGCGTTCTATGTATGTATGAGTGAGCCCTCCCCGTATCTGATCGCGAAAAGTCCTGATACAGCTGGGAGTCGCGCAGATCTAATGATTCCGAGGTGGAAGGGGTATGAACTCTCACTCCACAATCGCCCAGGTATCCCGAGCCATCGGTATCGCCTGCGCCAGAAAATGGGTTCCTTGCCGAGCTTTGCAACGATATCCCGTGAGCTTCTCCTGTGCCTCGGCCTAGGTTATGGTCTCAACTCTCAACGCCGCGGCGCAACGTCGCGTCGCCTTGGGCCTAGGCTAACCTGCGCGAAGCGCGTGTGGAGGCTTCAGAGGTGATTCTACTGTTTATGTCCGTTATATGTTAATATGTTCTTCATATAAGCCCTCATTCTCCGAAATATCTCCCTCTTCTTTTCCCCAAATGGATTCCTTCAGGTATTTCCGGGCCTTTGTCCGAGACATCAGCCAGTTGGTTCCTAATTCTTGCGGATCTTCGGGGTTCAGTCGCTTCGCCCTGATATTTCCGAGTGCTCTCGCGCTCCCTCCCCGAGCGGGAGGTCCGCTGCTGACTGTAACCGAATACATATAATAACCGAATAACCGAATACTATAGGGACAAGCTGTGTATGTTCCGGAGAGGCGACGCCACAAATTGGAGCTAAGCTCCTTACTCTCTACTCATAGATGTAGCATTATCGCACCCAGATCCCGAAGCAAGGTGGTAGCTCCTCCCTTGTTCCGTTCGGAATCTGGCGCGGCACATTCTAATCGACACAGGGTAGACGAGGATATTTTTCCGGGCAAAAGTTTCTAGCATACGATCCGCTCACCGCGGCAAACAATGTGGGAATCTTAGTCTTGATGAGCTTATATTTCACGTCTCGCTTTTTATGGACGGATCCTTCCTGTTTGCCTTAGCTGTTTTCCATCCCGAGAGGTATCGGGACTTAGCCACTATGACTCGGAATATTTCGTTCGATGTCAGAATGCCGCAACATTCGCACGAGTTAGGGGACCACAAAGAAGATCCTCTGCGGGAGAAAAAAAAATCCCTGTTTGGGGCCCGCATCCTTGACCGGAGGCTTCCATCCAATCATAACAAAGGAACGGAAAATCTTGTATTCCGATCTCCTGCTTCCAGAAGACACTGCCGATCCTCGCAGTGGCGCCGGAGCATGAAAGAGTTTCCAAACAGAGTGGGGCCAATGCATGTGGGAGTGGAATAATTGATTGTTCCTCCTCCGGAACTATGATAGGAGAAAAGGAGCACTCCTTCATGGCGGAGGGGTGACTGGGCTCATTTTGGTCCGACGGTCAAGAGGCTCGATCATTTCCTTAAGAATCCGCAATCCATCTATTCCATCCTTCGTGTGTTTTGCGCAACGCTACAGCTCCGACGGCTGCCCAGGTTCTCGTCTTCTGCTGCAAGTAGCTCCGGGATTGTTGACTCGCGTGCGTCTGAGTTGCAGCCGGCTCTCATTGATACCCCTGGGTTTTGCTCGTGCGTACCATCCTCCCACAGCTCTGGTATGCCGATTTCCGAGAGCCTCCAAGAAGAAATTCAAGATGAGATTACCACCTATCGAGTTATCATTTCACTACATGGCAAGCTAGCTATTCCGAGAGGACCTATTGTTCGATTCCAGTATTTTCAACGAGCGCTCCCGATTCTAAACCGTAGGTCGAGCGGAAGGAGGAAAACGGGGCCCTGAATTCGGCATAGGCGAGCCTTCTTGGTGAGAAGGGAGTTGGGAACGAATCAGGCTCCCTCACACGGCAGTCATTCGGAGGCGTTCGGTGAGCAACTCTAACGACAAATGTCCGCATCAATCAGGAGATCTGCGCAACCCTAGTGAATCTCTAGGAAGCCACGACATGGTCCTTCAGCCTTGTACCGTCCTCGATTGCCGACCAAAGACTCTTCGGCGAGTAAAACAATCCGATTCCGAGACATGAGGAATGCCACTGCTTCTCATCAGAAATTCATGTAAGCTTCCTCCGGTAGCCGTCTCCTTCAACCCTTTCTATTCCCATGCTCGGGAGCTCCCCTGTTTTCGGGGATGGAGCAACAGAGACGCGGGCCAATGGGCCAGGCAGACAAGTCTCCTCTCGGAGCTGAAAGCCTAGCCGCCAACCCTGGTCGCAACCTCTCGGTTGTGTACTGTAGAGCATCTCGAGCTGCGAAGACTTACCTGAAAGCGGAACGAGCCTCCAGAGACTGACCGACACCGGTCGGGGGCGGTTCTAGGACGCGGCCAGCCGTTTCCTGAAGCATTTATGTACAAAAACCGCCAACTTCTAGGGCTTTGCCGGATCTCGAAACGGGAAGGAGCCTCGACAGGGGAGTATCCGCTCGACCGCTCCATGACTTGACCGGCGTTTTCCGACTGAATTGCTTCGCGGAATAGTTCACAGGACCTGCGAGTGAAGTGTCGCGGCTCCAGAGCAATAACAACGTCCGAGCCGCGCGTGCCGCTTAATGGATTGTCTAAATAATTAACCAGAGAGACACGGGAAACGTCTCAGGACTGGCATTTCAAAACAGGACAATCAGGCTCCTTTCGCCCTCCAATAGTGTATCCAGGACCCGCTTATTTCGAGCAGACGCCTGGGTCAATAGACAGAGGCTCGCTTTTCAATGTTCTCTCCAGACCCGTGTCGCGGTCCCCGCGCGATCACCCCACGGAGCAATCTGAACGAGTCTTGATCGGAAATAATCAAGGCCGGCACTTCATGCGAGTTCGATCGAGATCAGAATAGAACGCTGGGAGAGTTTACTTAGAGCCATTACGCCGCGTCGAAACATGGGAGTTCGTCAATCGGGATATGCGCCTTAGTGTTTGTTCTCGCACCTCGGCAAGTAGGGTCTTGTGGATGTTCACAGAGGAGAGAGGGGGCCGGGATTCCCAAGAGAAACACTGTCAACAGTTTGGCAACAATACACAGATGCCTGAAATCCACGAGCTCTGTTTGAACTCGAACGATGGACTGCGCTGCGAAAGTTCCCTCGTATATCCCATCTACGGAGAAGTTGATGAAAGACGGAGTCAACTTCTCAATAAGATAAGTGACTCTGTTTTTTCAGACGTTCGTTCTCTCTCTGTTGTTTGACCCTCCCGCTTAGAGCTTGATATTCCCTTTCCCTCGCAACCCTTTACAGCTCAAAGTGGTCAAATAGTTTGAAGTCGGGGCAACCTTCCGCGTCGGTTAGTAGCGTTTTGCTGTCGGAGGGAACACCAGCTATAGGGGCAGTGCGGAGCGAGACCGAAAAGTGAGCCAATGCCGAGTTTTGAGAGCGCGAGCGTTGACAAACCGTCAGCGACTCAGAACCGACTTTTGACAACTCCTTCGGGAGGTTCCATTATCATCCACGGAATGTGGACTCCTAATATCAATTTGCAGTGGTAGGTGCAGGCTCGAGAGGTTACCCTGGACTGGTTGGAAGAATCCATCAATTCCCACAGAGACGACGGGGAGAAAATCTATTGCATTCGTACTCCAAACGCCGGGCGAAGTTTTTGAATCCTCCGCTGGTTTTGCATCGATGCTTCTCAAATATTCTATGCACTGAGATGAACGGCGCTCTCCAACTATTCCTTTGCGTGATCCATCTCTCCTCGGAACGTGCGAGAGATGAACAATGAACTTGATATAATTTGGGGACACCCCAGAGAAGAAAGAGCTCTGTATCAGTGAGAGCGCTCCGGCTGGCTCCATCCAGCTCTGACCTCGAAAACGTTCCTTCTTTCTGACTGTTGTGAGATGCCTTCGCTTCTAGAGTTTGTCCTCCCTTGAATGCCTCCGCTTCTGAAGTTTGAGGGCGCGTCTTGGTCACAAGAGACGGTTCCGAGCCGGAGCGAGGGCTTTCTCGGAGACGAGACGGATTCCCGTCCCCGGATTTTTTTCCTCCGAGAGGAGCGATGCCCTCCCTCTGACGCCAGTCTTGCCGACAGGATTCGAAATTGTTCCGGGAAACAGGCAGGAATCAAGTGATTCAGTCGTTCCAGCGTGTTCCGTCGCTATTCTCCCATCGGTTTAGGTTCCGCTAAGCTCTCGGTACCTGAACCGCGACTCTCCGATGTTGGTTCGAGCCGAAGTCGTTTCGTGTCGGAGCCGCGGCGGACGCGTCGGGAGAATTATCACGGCGGCGGCACGGATTCTGCAATCACAGAGTCGTCTCAGTAATTTGCGCGCCTGGCA